ATCTGGACTCATTGCTGGCCATTTCAGAACTCTCCAGCGCTTTGTCTGTAACCATTTCTGTGTGCTTTTTGAAGTGTGTTTTGGGTCACTGTCCTGCTGGAAGACCCATGAGCTCTGGTAGAGCCGCAGCTTTCTGACACTGGCCACTACATTGCACCCCAAAATTCTTTGGGAATCATCAGATTTCATGATGCCGTTCCCACAGTCAAGGCATCCAGCGCCAGAAGCAGCAAAGCAACCCCAAAACATCTTTGAACCTCCACCATGTTTGACTGTAAGGACTGTGATCTTTTCTCTGAATGCCTCATTTCTTTTTCTGTAAACAGTGCCATGATGTCCTTGACCAAAAAGCTCTCTTTTTGTCTCATCTGTCCATAGAATGTTCTCCCAGAAGGCTTGTGGCTTTGTCACTTAAGTTTTGGCATACACTAGTCTTGCTTTTTTATGCCTTTGTTTCAGCAGTGGTCTCCTTCCATAGCATCCCTTTTCATTCAGACGGTGATGGATAGTGCGAGCTGACACTGTTATAACCTATGTCTGCAGATTAGCTTGAATTTGTTTGGAAGTTAATCTGGGTTCTGTATCCACCATTCGAACAACCCTTCGTTGTAATTTTTCAGGAATTTTGCTCTTCCGTCCACATCCAGGGAGGTTAGCTACAGTGCCATGGGCTGTAAACCTCTTGATGATATTGCGCACAGTGAACACGGGAACATTAAGATTTCTGGAGATGGACTTGTAGCCTTGAGATGGTCGATGTTTCTCCACAATTTTTTTCTCCTAAATCCACAGACAACTTTTTACACTTCATTCTTTTCTCCATGCTCAGTGTCACACACAACACAAAGGTTGGGTCAACTTTTCTCCATCTTAACTGTTTACAAGTGTGATTACTATATTGCCCACACCTCTCGCCTGCGACAGGTGTGTCTAAATACAAATTAAAGGAGCATCACATGCTTGAAAAACAATTATTTCTTACAATTTAGATAGGGTGTCAATAATTTTGACCAATGCATTTTTTTTGTTTCTGTGTGGGATTGTATCAGATTTGACTTTTCTTCTCTGTTGTGTGTGTGTGTGTTGTTGTTGTTGTTCCAATGCAAACCAAAGAAAGGAACATGTGAGTACCAAAACATTTGCGGTTGCAACCATTTTCTGAGAGAAGGGTTGCATTTTCTGACAGAATTGCAAGGGTGCCAATATTTTTGGCCATGACTGTATGTCTGGAGCTTCTTAAGGTGTTGGGGCACACGATAGGCTTCCAAACGGAGTACTGCTCGGGAGGCCAGACTGCCAAACGATGAGATACCTGCCATCAGACAAAGGTCAGAATCAAGGGGTCTACTGGATCGACTTTGGTTGAATGCCTGGACAAAAGAAAATGTTGGAGGCAACATTAAAACAAAAAACAAAAACAAAGGACAGTCATGCATGAGTCCCTCATGCCTTTTTAAAATTAGGCTAGTTTTTAACTTGCTCCTAATGATTCAATGTATTTTAATTAGCTTATAGTTTAATTGTGTGGGTTTTTTTTAAAGTTTAACTTATTATGTTTTGAATTCTATTCTTTTTAATGTTGTGAGCTGCCTTGAGTCCCCTTGTCCGGAGAAAGGTGGCCTATCAATAAAACAAACAAATAAATATTGGGGACATAAATTGTGCACCTCTTAAACAAGGTGTGCAGTCCCCCCATTGCTCTGCCAGCTCTGGGGGCTACAGAGGGAACAGGGTAAATGCCACCTGCCAGCCACTGACTGTTCACTCTCCTCACCCCACATAGGGTTCCATAAAAATAAATTGAAAATGCTCCACACATTTAAACTTGAATACTAACCTTCAGGAATTAGTAACAGCTTGTGTCTCATCTCCTAGGAAAACCTGTTTTTTGTTATGGAGTATGTTAATGGGGGTGACCTGATGTTTCATATCCAGCTGTGCCACAAGTTTGACATCGGGAGAGCAAGGTAAGAGGGCGGGGTGTCTCTTTACAGTGTCTCATTAAAAATGTCTTGAACTAGGGCTTGATGGAGCTATTTTTTTTTACTGTAACTCCCCAAATCTTCAGTGGCTAAACTGACTTGTTTTTTTTTGTTTTT